CAATTATCGATATTTTACTGTCGTCACTGTGAATTGTAATGTGAAATGCCTGGGGATCGTTTTTTGTCTTATGTTATGGAAAGGTAGAGAATTTGATGGGTGTCGATAGGATCTTTCATTTCCTTTGTGGAAATAATAAAGAATATTCGAAGACGATTATATTAAGACTCCATTTAATTTCGTCTCGGTTTCAGAATTTAACGCACTCCATTTTCGCACTTCCTTTTTTGGGGGGGATAACGCTAGCAAACGGTTGACGACTAAGGCTATCCATCGCGAGAGACATTATCAACGCGAAAATTCCGTCGGATAGTTCGCATATCAATGAATATGCATGGTCGAAAATAAACCTGTCCGCACCGGTGCATTCCATTTTTAATTTCGTTACTACTAACTCACGTGACATACTTTTCCGCGCAGTCATTTAAATTCCTTTGTACTTTTACTGTCCCTTGTAGTATTCGAGGTCGCAGATAACAGTCCATGATTTATGCGAGGTAAGCGCAAAATGTCTCCGTTGGGTAATTAAATCGCAACCCGTATTTATCGTTGGTGCGCACAATACGTGGTCGCATACCTGGCACGAACTGTTAAGATAAAAGGAAAAACAGGCACGGTATAAAAATTGAATTATTATTAGAATTCATTTTAAGTAGCTACTAATCGCGTCGCGCATGGCTTTATTTTATTCACGACGAGCTTGTCGTATTTAAACAGGTACGAAACTTCGCGCGAGCCTAGTTTCGCTACTCGAAGCAACCAAAAGGGTTCTCCGAGACGTTGGAACGCAAAAATATGGTAACACCAATTAAAACGAATATATTGCTGGTCGTAAATCAATTTTATGGTGACGGACGGGACCAGCGATCGAAGTATACCGAAGATCGAGGCAAAATAAACCGGTCGAGCTTTCGAGTCGTTCGAACGCTCGATCGCTGCCCTCTTCGAAACGCGAGGACAAAAATGTCCGACACGGTCTTTGACGCTGCCCATTCGTGTGCATACACGTTCCCTTATTCGTTGTTTCTGTACCACTCTTTTTCTTCTTTCGCACCTTCCTTCGATGTACAGGGTGTCCTGGTTAAATCCGAAAGAAATCGCGCAGAAACAAACAGAAATTGTAGAAATTCCTTGTGGGATATTTATCGAATTAAAATATGCGAAGGACTCTTGCGAGCACTGTTTGATTAATAAACGTGTCAACCCAGATACAAGTGGAAAGATGAAGAAATGGAAAGTACGCAACAGACTTTTATAGAAAATGGAAAAGAATATGAATCGTTTAGAATAAACATTGAAACAATCGATGATTGGCGTTTCTTGCGACACGGAGTATCCCAGTGGCTGGCGTTCGTTTTTCTTTTCCCATTGCGAGTGTCTTCGGCACGAGAATTATTGCAGTCCGTGTCGGGGTCGTTAAACCGCCGGAGCTCTCTCGAAATACGTGCGTGAAGGCTATGCAAATTTCAAGTCAGTCGCTTTCGTGTGACCCGCGCGCGTTTCGTTTCCCTGCGCGGTTCGCCGTGTTCATGATTGACGCGTTTACTTTGCACGGAGGAGACGATTTTTCCGACGTGTCCCTTATTTGCAGACAGAGAATCGCGCCGTGTAATTTCTTCTCCAACGGAACCCGCGACTCTCCGCGCCGTGAAAGCTCCGAAGAAACGAGCGAACCTTTCTTTTGCCGAGAATTCCCGTTAATTCGGAGCGCATTAATATCAGCAATACCGTATTTCCGATTCCTTTAGCGATACCCGCGATAGAACACGAAAATTTAATCATTTTCTATCGACTTTATCTCTTCGGTCTTCATATATAAACTCCAATGTAAACAGAAGCAACACGATGGCTTCGATAACGGGCGATATATTTGATGCGTGGAGATTACAATAATCTTAATTATCTCTTCGCATGTACGATTATATCTCTTATGACAAGCGTGCACGCGTTTCTTATGTAATTGTGTATCGATTCGCGTCACAATAGATAGCCGAACATATGCCGAGATACGGATATTATGATAATTCCTACGCAACAAACCTGTCACCGCTGTCAAGGATATTATTGTTCCCTATTTACACTGGATTAACGAAGAAATTTTCTCTTTTATTGCTCTCCCGTAGATACGTTTTACGGTTGACTTTAACTGAGACTAATTACAACGATGAGCTAGGTAAATACGAACCCAAGAAGTGGACGAGTCCAAGACGTGCATGTACGCGCGATGACTCATGAATGATAATTAATGAATACGTGTTACGTCGTAAAGATACCGTTTAAATGGAAAATAACGACCGCGCAAAAAAGTTCGTTTTATCGCGGTAAGCGTTAACATGAATTGTGTGACACGTGTTCGAATGCATAATGCACAACGTTTAAAACTTTAGGAATAAATTGTATTGTTGTCTAGAATATCGGAGTAATATCGGTGCACAAGTATTCGCTGATTAAGGAAATTTTCTATACGCTGCATAACGTTTCCTGTGAAAGGAACAGAAACAAATTGACCGCTTAATTATTCAGTGTTACGATTCGCGTAGATCGTAAATGCACGACAGGCTAGAAGAGGTTCAGGATATACTTCCAGAGATAGTACGTTTTTAAAGTTTCTCCCGCGGCGAGAGCGGAGCTTTGTAGGTCAGAAACGCGATCGTGACGACACCGACGCCGCGAGACGCAAAAAGCGCCGCGAGCACACGAGCAGCGGTTAGGAATTTGCTGCAGTTTATGGGACACGTTTAGCTCGTTTGCAAGCGGCGTGGAGAGAGGGAACACGCTCGATCGAGAGACGAGAGCTGCCGTTCGGTTTGACAAATGGATCGAAATTGCCAATTAACTTCCACGCGCGGGACAAACGCTGATAAAGGCGACGCGTTATCTGAAATCAAGCGTGAACAACGCGCAACCGAATCGCGACCCGTTAATTTACGGAACGTGGCTTTTTTTCGCGCGGCGTGTGTCGCGTGTCTCGATTCTCGACTCGGTCGCGAGATTATCGTTCACGCGCCATCGGCTCTGTGCGATTCGTGATGGGACTGATAAACGTTAGGCATGGAGCATTTCGATGTCGAACCTCGGGAGTCGATTAAATACCTCGTTAGAGAAATGAAATGGAACAGTCGGGTACCAAACGTTCATTGACATAATTAACTTGATATAAAAAATATCGAATTGGTGGCTTCGTATTAGTTTTAAAGGAATACAGTATTCGTACGTACTGGTATAGTATCGATCTGTTGTATCATTCCCGTCGCTAGGCGTAGAACTCTTTATTTGTAGCCGCTCTCTCCGCGACCGTCTGGTCGAGCGTGAAAAGTAAATCAACGCGCTCCGTATGTACTTGGCCGTTATGTACCCATTATTACTCCCATCAGTTATATACATCGGATCCGTGTTCTGCTTTGCAGTTTTTTCCTTCGGTCTCCTTCACGCACGATATGCTGGACACATTAGCCGCGACACGCTGCGATAGTTTCCTCGACGTTACGTCCACGGAATTCAGCGTTTCCTGTGCTATTACGCGTGAATCGATTCGACCCCCAGATAATATTTTCTACCCCTCATTTTTCGTGGAAACGGTCAGGTTTCAGAACTGGGTGAAACGTTTCTACTCGCTAGTCCGTTTTTTCATCAATAATTCATCCTTCATCGCGAGCATTTTCTATGTAGAATATTAACAGCGTGGAAACCTTTGGGATCAATTCACCGTTACCTAGATTCGAGCAAATCAAAGTGTGACTCTCAGCACACGCGTGTCCACATGCGTCCACATGCGCCCGAAGCCTTACCTACTCGTATCTCGATAACCAAGTCTCGGTCTACGGAAAAGGACATATCGATTGGCATAAAAATTGAAGCATGAATGCATTATATCCCAGACATTATGATTAACCGATATCCTAATCGATTTGTCCCTTTTTTTTCTGTCGCAGGTAAATCTTCCGAGCGACTTGTACTCGACTCGCAGAACCGGTACGTAATCAATTCGCGAGAGGAATGTTTCCAAGTTCCGTTGGAATGGATTGCGCGACGGGAATGGAATTCTCGTCCCGTGAGTTTTTCGGGAACACCATTCCCGTCCGCCTTAACGCCCCGTGGGGAAGGAACCGTGATTTATACAAGCTTGATCGACCGCCCTAAGCCTCTCTCGTTAGAATCGATTGCGCGCGAGGGTGGACGACCAAGTCTCTGGTCACGTCCCCGTGGAATTAGGTCGTCTCGACGGTTCGATCAGATTCCTGGAAACAATTCGGTCGACGTGTCGCTGTCGAACTTATCGCAAACTCGCCCGAACAAATTTCACGCGTTAAAGAACTCTCCGGAGAGCCTACTCGTGCTCGAGTGTCGTTTGTCCGCACGGATATCTCGGGGATTCTTCGCGTAACCATTTTCTGCTCGTGGCTAGGGAGTTGCAGAGTAATCGTAGACGAGAAAATAAGACGGGAGATTGCGGGGAATTTCACGTGGGAAGGAGCCGCTCTAATAGAAATATTTTGGACCCTGTGGAACCTCTTAAATTTTTTTTTTTTTTTTATTATTAATATAGTAAGTATTAGTAGAATTAGTTGATGTATGGAAGGATTTTCTTGCTTGAATCAGATCGTTGTAAATATAGAAGTAAGCTTCCCCACATCCAGATAGGAACGAACAGGAGGGGCTATACCTCCTGTATACCCACAGATGAGTACGTCGACTTCGTTCGTTAGGTATTATTCGTATAAAATTTCGCCCGTCCGCAGTCTGGAGAGAAACAATTCCCCCAGCGGTCGTTAAAAGTTCCATCGCGCAGAAATCGGCTCGTTAGACGAATCCTCGAGCAGGAACGCGCTTCGGTAGGAGAGGAATAATGATAATACACAAAGCGCGTTTCGACGCGGCGACGTGCAGCGTCTTCCTAATGACGTCTCCTCTCTGACCGACGCACGGACGCGAATCAACAATTTATTATCCATCGTATGAGGATCGATACAACGGGCCCCGTAGACATATTCCCACGTTGATACTGAAATCTATCCGTCGGCATTGTCGGCGTCCTCCGTCGTTCCCCGTTCGTGCGTCGCGAGGCTTGATTGCCAGTCGGCTGTAAAGAACGTTCGATGCATACGCCGGCGTGCAGCGATTTGCAGGAGACAGCGGCAACGTCCGACTTCAAGGTAGCGAAACCCAGTCAGTGGACGGCTTATGTAAGCTCTTCGAAGGTATGCTTTACGCCTGGGAACGATACGCGCGCAGAAATCGATGAAAGACTCGCCTGGAATAAGAATTTCGAGCAACGATGCCACGAAAACCACTTTTAATCCTTGATTCGATCCGGGTTAACCTTTTGCCATTTTATTGACACCTCGAGTTTCAAAGAAACTAAATCTAAAGAAATATTAGGTATTGTAGATTTGCTGCGTGAAGCCTAATGGTGACTGAGTGTCACCTCTCGAGTGCAAAGGGTTAATACAAGAGTGTACTCGTATGTTCCAAAACATGGCGTGCGGGCTCCTCGTTCGATTACTCAGGAAGCATCGTACTAAAACACATCTTGTATATTCGTGGAGACTTCAATGCATGTAAACGCTAATTTAAACACCGTTGGTAATGTGTCCCGTTGGTAATGTTTCGTTGGTAATGTAAAATATTTGGCCTTGTTCCTCTTGGATAATGGCGATAATTTAATCCTTCGTTTAATTTCATCGTGCCAGATATAATTCTCCCTGTGATTCGTTCTAACTACATTTTGAAAGAAACTGTAAAAGAATATCCTCGTCCGTGATCGGCCCGTGACATGCGCCAGTCGACGTGCGGAACGGTACATGGAATCGTGGAACAAAGCCCGGCAAAAATTGTGATTCAACGCGAGTACCATATGCGTGGAAAGACAATTTCCGATCGATGTCAGTCGTCAGATGACACATCGTAGTTCTCCAAGACGCGCGATTTGCATTTCGCCTAACGTATTACGCAACGCGGTGTTCGCAGACCCGGCGTCTTTCTTTTCGCGTCTACAAATGGATGATGGAACTGTCGGAGAAGCGAATAAAGATCGATGAGACTCGCGCCATTTGCGAGCCGTCTGAGCCCCGGGCTCGATTAGGTTCGTTCGCGAGACCGTACAACAGAGACGGGTAAAACTCTTATCTACATAAAAATTTCGAGTAATGAATAAAACATGGACAGATGTGTCACTTTCGCGATATAAATGATAATGCGAACACAAAACGAAATTAATAAATGGAGAACTTGATTGTACTCTGGATTCAATTACTCTCGGCTCTTTCTTTTATCGGCTCGATGGGAGATGGAATCATATTGTCTGATTGTATAAAAAAAAAAAACCTGTGAATCCGGTGATTTAAATCTAGAAAAGGAATGACTATGGCGCGCATCTATTGATCGCTGTTCGAATAAAATTTTGCTCATCTACCCCTTGCAAAATTGTCGCTTATCTCCTCGGAAGACGTGGGTGAAACGTTTCCAAAGTGCACTGTCCGGTTAGGGGTTCGATACGCGAGTGGGAGGCTGTTGCATGCTAGACTTTTGCTTTCGAATTCAGCTCGTCACGGAAGTTGCCACAGCGTGAACGAGACATTCCGGTTTTGTTAGAATGTTGAGATGGATATCGAGCGTGTAGTTTCGATAAACTTGCTTTCTAACGCCTGTGTATATCCGATACGTTGCACGATTCCACAGCGCCCGCTTGTCGAGGCGAGTTTGGATAGACAATGCGTTCAGAGAACTTCGACTTAAATGGAGTGACGCGATTTTTTTTTTTTTTTTTTTTAATAGAGCTTAGATATCGTAAAGACACCTTTTCGATTCGTACTCTCTCGAAAGATACGCAGCACGAGACAGACGATGCTTTTCGACCCATGATATTTATTATTAATCATAGATTTAATACAGACCTGTCATTCACACTTCAACAAACTTCTTTTTGCACTTCTCGAGCTTGACGCATTCTTTCTTTTCATTTCGGACGAAACCTTCCTTGCACCTGCACGCGGCTTTCTTGGGATTACACACCTAAAATAATAATTTAACGTACTTTAAGGCACAATGGCGAACGTACGGGACACTCACCAATTCTGGACAAGTCTTCTCATTCGGTACGGGAACCTTGCAAGTTGGTTCGCAATTTTTCGCGCACCACGACCACAACTCGTTGTGAGGGCACTTGACTAACGGTCGAAATTCCTCATTTGCGGCTGTTGAATGAAAATATTTAAATAATTTATGTAATGGATTTCGCGAAATTGTGAACTTACGCACGGCCATTGCTGTAGTTAGGAGGACGAGAAGGATGACGAAACGAGACATGGTCGATTTTTAGATGATTTCGCTACGAGTTCGCTTTAGTTTATGATACCACATGTTTAGATACCAGCGATTTTATATACTCACGCCTTTATGCAAATTTCTTCCTTTCGAGATAACGCTATCGTAGGAATTATTGTGGAAGTAATTTTTTAAATCAAATGATCGATGGCAAAAGCTGAGTAAACTCGATGTCAATGGTTTCTTATGTTCTTTACCGTGTCGCCAATCGAGATATTTTGCCACGTGCGACGATTACGTTATATTTACGTTTGATTCAGCTATACGTTGCCCTGATAAAGAAGTCCTTCGAGTTATATGTTTTCAAGCAAAGTCGATAAAGCCGTCGAACTGAAGATCGCCAACATTGTTATCTGGTTACACGTTTATCCAGTGCTCGTTGAGGATAGATTAGAGTTCGAATTATATATAGAATGAAATAATTTACAGTAAATAAATACAAATGGAATTACTTCGTGGTGCTTTTATTTGTCGAGTCCAACGTATATAATCTACATTTCACGAATGAGGACCCTTCCAATTGGGACATTTCTCTGGTAGGATACACTTTTTGTTGCTTCTTACGTAACCTGGTTTGCACCTGCAGGCAACCAGATGTTTTTGGCACTCCTGAAACCAAAGAGCTCGGAATATTTCAAGATTTTGTATCATTTTTAAATAGCCAATAGTTTCTATGACTCACAAATTTCGGGCAGACTGTAAAATTATCGTCCCAAATGGCACAGGTTACTTCACAGCTAGTTCCACACCTAGACCATTTCTCATATTGGGGACACTTCTTCCTTGGTTTCGGAGTAGTGTGTTTCGCTGCAGCTTGAACAGAAAATTCATTAATTACTCGAGCCGAAACAGTCTTTCCTTTAGCCCTTCGCGCATCCACAATCTTTATTCGTTCGTTTGATAATTAAATTTGAGACAGTGGAGTGCAATGAATTAAATCGTGTATCCGATTTAACGGGGACTTACTAGCAGCTACGACCACCATAGCGATCAGGAGAAGAACGAAGACGTATCGAGACATTGTCAATCCTTATTCGATGTTACACGTCTTGCATTCGCTCACGTCTGCGGGCCTCTCGAATATTCTTCGTTTTTATACTCGTGATTATCTCGATAATGTTCGCCACGTTGGCTGTTCTTTCGTTAGAGATAACATTGGTATCGAGGCTGTTTGGTTGTTCAAGCACACGGAGAATTTCCGTACTATACAGTCTCTGATTCAGTGATTTATTGTCACTCTATAATTATTCAAATCGTAAACAAAAAACATACTAAAACGATGTGTCGTGTATATTGTTAGATGATAGCAGAGCTGAATATTAATAATAATGGTACGATTACTTTGGACTGTTTTTCTGGAGGTGATTGGAAATAAAACAAATTTCTGCATGCAAAATTGTTTATTATCGTCGTTGCATTAGAAGCGTAGTTACACGAAGGGGTTCATTAGGGAGCAGAGATGGTCGTTGATAAATTTCTTAGTGTTTTGGACATTCTGACAAGGGAATACACCTATCTCCGTTTCTGTAGAAGCCCTCCATACAGCGGCAGGCAAAGTCGAGAGGAGCCTAAACACACATTTGCCAGTTTCGTGAACGTATGGCCTACAGAGTTTTAGAAGGTATGCTAAATGACAATTGCTCCGACACTTACGCTACAGAGTCTGAACGACGGATCTTCGCAGCTTGGCTCGCACATTCTTCCAAGGCCTGACCAGAACATATTTTCAGGGCATGGTTGCTCCGGTGGGACAGCGCTTACACCCACTGCTCGAGCAAAAGAAATTCAAAATTTATAGGCGCCCAGAAAAATTTGGCTCTAGGTCTTAAGGAACTCTTGTTCCACGTAACAGTGGAATAAAATATTATCCCAAAAGTTCCTTTCTGTGACAGTTATTTATATAAATAGACAACCTAATTTCTCAGAGGTTGGTGTTACACAGTAATAGAGCAAAATGGATCCTACACAATTCGGTAATGTAACATAAAACATAAAATATTGCGACTGTATTACTTATTAATGAAACGTATGAGACTTTTGGGAGAGCCTAATAACTAACCTACCTCGATATGCAAAGTCTCCAGCAGACTCTAATAATAATAGAACAGATCGAACGATGAGTAACTTACCAGCAACCACAACCAGAAGGACGAGAGCGAAAACGTAACGAGACATGGTTCTTCCACGGTTTCACTTGTTCTACTTTTAAGCTATCTTTTTGTTGTGTTAACTTTACTCAACGATCGCTACTCCTTTTATACCCCCGAATTTTCATGAATATTTATATAAGGATCAGTATTCTGTCATTGACTAGATAACGTTATCATAGCACTTGACAAACGATCTTTCGCTGCGATTAGGGATAGGCGAGTTGTACAAGTAATTTTTAAGCTTGTTTACGCAACAATGTTTACGCGGACACATTTTTTCGAGTGATTTATAATATGCTCCGAGAATTAGGTTATCGTGGATATTTCAGGGAAACGATGTCGAACGCAACAATTAAGACGCTACGCGTGTTCGAACCACCGTGATCCTTTTCCGTGGAAAATTTTGCTCGTTTACGGAATCACGATTTTCATTTCGTGATTTTCACGTGGCGACGAATTTTCGTCGCTGTGTCGAATACCCCGATGTATCCGTTACGAGCAGAGTCGTCTGGCGTTAACGAGGTATCGAGGAACTAATTCCGAGTGAAATCCACTTAAAGAGCGAAGAAAGTGGAGAGAGATTCGGGCGTGTAAAATTCGTATCCCAGTTGTTCGGGGGAGGGTGGTTGGTAAATTATCGGCAGCTTCACGGCTCCTCTAATTGAGCGGTTTGATCGAGCGACCCCTCGATTCCAGGCTCACTCGAAGTCTTCGTTCGCCTCTGGTCGCGTCGTTAGGCACCTTCCAAACGGGGTTCCGAGCGAGCTCTCGAACCAATGTCGTCGAACTTCCCCTGTTGCCTGAGAGGAACATCATCCCCACCTTTGGCCCCTTGTCGGACATTTAAATGCAAATACACTTTTTTACTTATATTTATATGCAAATACGCGGCTTGTTCCCGCGGCAGACGGGGGGGGGGGGGGAGCGGAGGGGGTGAGAGAAGAAGGGCACGAACGACGCCGCGCGAATGAAAACGACGTATTTCACAGGCGAGAAAAGGGCGCACGCGATACGTCGCAATTACCGCTGTCGCGCGTGTACTTCGCCCGTTTCGATTCAATGAATTTAGCGAACAGTATCTTATACGGAGCGCTCGAGTTACGTCTCGAGCAACCTTCTTCGAGATATTCCTCTCGGCCGTAAAGGAAACGTCTCAATTATAGCCGCAGTGCTCGTCAAACTTTTCCTCGAGCGTTCGACATTCACGCGACGAGTAACGTAACGAATTCACGTAAGGAATATTTATTTCAAGTATCGACGTACCAAAGTTCCCGATACTCTCCACTCCAATTTTCCACGATTTTCCCGTATTATTTATTTGTCTCCATTCCTTCTGCTACTTTAGATAGCGGGCTATCTCTTCGCTACTGAAGATTCAAACTTCCTTCGGGCGCGGGGGGGGTGGGAGGGAGGGAACAATATGGCTCACAGTTACGCGGCGACGTTTCTCTCTGGCCCGCAAATTGCACGAGTTCTCTTATCGTAACCTTGGAGGCTGGGAATCTCATTCGGAGACAGTGCATCCTCTTTCCTCGTCGCATAACGATACGCCCGATCACGACTCGCGCGTATAGCTCTCGCTTTTGTATATCGTTATCGGTTATCTGGAAGCTTCCTTCGTCGGAACGTGTATCGAAAAGGCGGATCGAGACACGTTTTCCATATTCCTGATCGCTTTCTCGATTCGCAGCCTCCTACCGTAGACAAACATCGCGCAGGGAGATTTGAATTTTATGTCTTTACTCGGAACTCGGAAGTTGGGCTAAATTTTCGTCGGTTCGACTCGTTCTCTGTTCGGTTCGTCTCGTTTCTCTGTTCGATAGATTATGAAATATGATACGGACGAGGTAGACCGGAAAAGTTCCTTTTCGAAATTTTCCGGACGGAGAAAAGATACGGAGAGATAAGGGAGGGTCGACGAGAGATGTCTAAGATCGCCGCGAAACGTGATATTTAAAATGCAGATGCACTCATTTAAATACCCCTGGCCGTTCGCGATTTAATCGTCCTCGTTTCACCGCGGCCCTTCGCGGGTTGCTCGTACTCTCCCCCTCCTCATTCCCTCCCGCCCCCCCCCCCTTCGTTGGTGCGCCATTATCCCGACAAGGGTTCTTCTTTCGCCAAACCGGAGAGAGTCGAGCCGATCTGTAATCCGAAAGTTGTCAGCCGCACATCGCGCTGCCCTAATGGAATTTGAATGTCGTTAGCCGAAGTAACCGGGCGTGAGGAGAAAGGGACCTTATCCCTATTACAGCGTCGTCCTCGCCGTCGGGGACACGGTCGCCGCAGGTATCGCCCTCCAGGACGAAGCCATCGTCGAGTCGGTAAGTTTATCGGACCGTGAAAATGCGTTTGATAGCAACTAATCCAATACGTTCTCACGATAGATGGACGGAATTCTCGTCGGCGATTTATTTTGTACGCGACGAGTGGTTCGGCGAACTTGAAAATAATCCTCGAACAGGATCGTAGCGTGTCGATCGTCTTCATACTCGCGGAACACGAAAGAAGGACACGAAGGAAGGAGTATCTGCGGTAACGACGATCTCGAGAACCTCTGCGGGAGGATTCCACTATACCGCCGCGTCAGCAGCAGGCCTTTCCTTTTTCTACTCCCATTTTCTCGCAGTCAGCAATCGCTAGACGAGTCGACGAAACGGTTTGATCTATCACTCGAGATAGCTGTCCACCCAGTCATAATTTGTGTTAGAGAAAGCAGAGTCACGAGTCGAAAGTCCTTCAAGTTTTTCTTCTATCGAGAAGAAGTAACGAGTTGAAAGGACATTAGGACGTGGGAAGATGGCAACGCCAGGTACCGATCTACCGCAATTGTTAGCACCACGAATTTCTATGGAGAAACCGATGATGTTCGATAAATCAGGAGGAGAGAAAGAGTCGGGAGAGGACGCTAAACTTGAACTCGGGATTATGCGGCCGGTATATGCACCGACACGCACAATGCGTCTCCGTTGCGCCTCTTGTCCTTGGGACTGTCTTGTGTCGACAATGATCCGCCTGTGGCTGGCTCCGCCTATCTGAAATGAAAAAATCATCGAGATTAGCGTAAGACAAGCTATTTATAACGGAGCCTCGGTGTTTCAAGTGAAAAAGCTTTGACGCGTTCTTTCGCGGTCGCTGAACCGAGGGCGCTTAATCGGGGAACTCCGGGTTGATGACTGATCAATGGGCTTCGTCGATGATCGCTCCCTGGCTCGACCAGAAACTGGCAAAGTGCACGGTAGAAGAATCACTCGCAATGGTTACGTCGTAAGCGAGGGAACTCTGAATGAAATTTAAAAACTAGTAGACTCTGCCGACAAACAATCGACATCTTCAGTCTCTCGAATCGTTCGGCAAGCTCTGAATTATTCCTGGATCTAGATGAATCCTCGTTGCGTCTTGAGAGGTCATGCGCCAGCACGAGATCGAAAAAAGCATGATTTTTATGATATTTTTTATTAAAACATCTAAAAACATTTTTACAAAAACTGTTCGCGTATTTAAAAGATCATTCTTCGGAGTATACATCGTAATGTTTACAATAAGAAATAACAATAAATAAACATAACATTGACAATATCCGGGGACCCTGTCAAGGAAAAGCGTTTTGCGGTGACAGTGAAAATTGTCAATGTTATTTTCTATTGTAAGAATTATGATGCATTCTCCAAAAAAAAATGCTCTTTTAAATACACCAACAGTTTTCGTAAAAATGTCTTTAAATAATCTCACTTCCAATTGGACCGAGCATAGTTTTCAGGCGATGATAAAATTACTCACCGAATCGGGATTTATCTCGGCGAGCCGCGAGCGCCGATCGTCGATCGACGACGATGACCCTCCCTGTGCATTTGTCATGCAGTTGCCATCGTTCTCGGTAGGCGTTCGCTTTCATCGATTATGCATTCGAATTTATATTTATGAAGCGTTGTAGTAGCTGCTCGTATCGACGTTCTAATAATGGATGCTGCTATAAACCTCTCGTCAGGGTCGCCCGATGCGACATCGCCTACTCGTCTCTCACGAAGATTTCCCCGCTTTATGCAGTCACACGTTTCGCGGATACGACGAGTCCTCGGTTTACGAGGAGTCGCGGATACGCATGCCCACGCGCGCCTCTGTCCTTGCGTATACAGTAATCCCATATAATGACGGATCCCTCTATGTACGTAACAACGTTCGTATCTGTCTATTTTCAATTATCGCGTGTCGTCCGCTTGAACGGCGCCGAGTAAATGAAAGTTGTGCGACCAATCGTGAAACTTTTGAGCTTCGATACAATCCTTAATGCCTTCGCGAGTGTCATCGTGAATGTGTTGGTCAGGATTTCTTGATGTAAATTAATCCAAACACGACCCTATTTCGAGTGTGTTTAATTATTCTCTAAATAATACTTTATTTATGCCGTTGATATCAAGTACTATAACAAAAAAAAGAAGAGGAACAAAAATCAAACAAATTGAGACAAGCACAGTGTTATCATTACGTACCATGTTCGTGCTGGATTACGTTGGATTAAGGTATCTACAGACGTAAATTTCGATTCTGATTCTCGTCTAATTCTTGAAATAAATTATATAGAGTTTGTTCGCCGAGATTTTTTTTACACAATTGGAAGTTTTGCTCATCTGCGGTCTCGAGGGCGAAACGAGCGTGCCTGGGATCGATTTTTCCCTCGGATCGATCGAGAGTCCGCGAAGAAATCGACCTGCTCGTCCCGTTGATCCTTATTCGGCTTGATCGCGAAGGGTGTCCAGTTTGCGGTCGCGTTCACCGTTTATTGCTCGAAGCGTTTCTTTGAGCGTCACGAGGGAGTGGTCGTGGCGTCGCGTTCCCTTCGTCGCCGAATAAATTTCCTGGCGAAACCGAAAGCGTGCGTGAGAAAGCCATCCACGCAAGAAACTGCCCCCGGCGGGGGAGGCAGGAGGACACCAGACGGGTTTTTCTCGCGTCGAAGCAAGAACTACGCTTCTTTCTTTTCGGGAGGGGTGTTTCGTACTCTTCTGGAGACGTCTGAGAAGAACGAGGGAAATGTGTCCTCTCGGGAATACACAAATGAGAAGACCGTCGACGTTGCCCATTATCCAGCCTCTTAGGAACTCGTCCAATGGCGTTGCATAGTGGCACGTATATGG